ATGGTCCACATGGATGCAGCATAACCGTCACAGTTACAATCATCATCCTCACCACCATCTCCGGACGCCCATACGAAGATCGAGCCAAGGCCGTTTCGACCCTTGAATGAAATCATGGATTCGATGAAGGGCAGTTTCAGGAAAGCAAATATGAGCTTCTCTTTAATATCCAGAAAACCTTCAAGGCATTTCTTTCCTCAAATCTAATTTCATAAAACATCAGGCTATTAAAACTTTCGATATCAAACGATTCAGCAACAATTTCCTTCCCTGAAAACGATGTGGAGAGTTATGAACGTCTGAAAGCTCTTAGAAGCAAAAAAATATAACCAGAACTTTGAAGAGCATAGTTTTTGGGATTAACTTGAATATCAATGGAGGAAATTATGCCTACTAGAGAATAATCTAATTGCATGTTTGTGGCACTCAACGAACCTCATTCAAAGCTATGACGTTAGAAGTTAAGTGCAGCGCGATAGCAAAACGAGCAATGGAAAGAACGAGTGTATGAGAGAAAAAAGATTTAAGTAATGCTTATCTTTATCTAACTGATTTCTTCCCACAACGAGACTATATGCATAAATTTGTAGAAATCAAAAATAGCAATTATTTTCCCCAAAACTCGTGCTATCATTTCACTACTAAATTTGTTGAAAAGGTGAAATTGATCAGATAAACTCTGATTAATTAAATCAAGGGTGAAGATCTTGAGAAACTATGAAACTATTGCAGCCGATGAATACGTAATGACTAGAGAAAAACATGTGAAATTGGTTACGCATACCTCATTAACACCTTTGACAATTGCCCTCATAGTAGCATTTCTTGGGCCGTCTACAGTTTTGCCATCGTCTGTTGGACCCCAGCTGGCTGAGTAGATGTGAATCTTATTTGGTTCATGACCCATGGAGTTGGCCTGGAAAGAAAATATGTAATGTTGATAAGAGTTCAGAGAGTGAGGTAAACAAACACGACTTCTTCTTCACCTCAATGAGATCCGTCATGTATGGCTGATCGAGCATTCGGATTCCAGCTACTTTGCTATCGTACGCTACACCGACGCCGCA